AGTATTACCCAGTTACCTATAAACGGTTTGATCAATGAACTGATGAACTCTTCAATTACTTTATCAATATACAATTCATAGAATATATTTCAGCTTGTTTTGATGTTCGTGACAAATTATTATCAAAGTAACGTAATTGCCCTGTGTTGTAATTTTGATTCCTAAACATAGCTTTTGCAATACTGTATGTGTTTGTATGGCCATGCAAATAAAGCTCGTTGTTGTTGTTGTGACAACCCATAGGCACTTGCGTGTTTACTCTTGACTTTAACTCATTCGCCCCTGGGAATTTTGCCGAAAAACGCGTTTTGAAGCTAGTCGAGCGGTTTTCTAGTCCTTGTCTGGCTATAAAAAGCTAAAACTTACCTAAAAGCTGTTTAATTTGCAGGTCGTACATTTCGCGGTCTTTTGATCCACATGCAAAATATTAATATTAACGTGCGAAGCTCGGGCATCCAGAAAGCAAAGTTTTTTGGGTTTAAAATTGTCACATCAGTCTTGACTTTTTCTTTTCACTTTCTTTCCTCTCCTCTTCTTTCGCTTTTCCTGCGTTATTTTTTTTTTCTCTCGCTGGTCATTTAGTAGCTTCATTTTGGTGAGAAAAGTTTGAGGGAAAGCTTTTAGGATTTTGGGATTAGATGAAAGGAAATGCTAAGGAGGGTAGTGAAACTAGATTTTCAAGGAAATTTTCTGGTCAATGTTACACGTTTTGTTGTTGATTTTTTTTTTCCTTTTTCTCCGGTCTCCTTGACTGAATCGTGCTCATTTTGTTATGGTTTGAAAGATCCCTTTACCCTGCATAAGTCAGGGGACGACGTTGTCCTTGGCCGTTAAAACTGATGACGTCACAAGCCGTAGAAGGAAACTTTATCTGCACGGGCCGTTACGGGCGGTTCAGGGGCGAATTGGTTCAGTCAATCATCCCAAGGCTCAAGGCAACTTCAGGACATTTATTCTGAAATAGAATAGCTGATTTCTCGAAAAATTTTTCATTTAAATTTCTGAGAAAACGAAGGCTATATATAACAGATTATTTAAATATTGAGAACCGAGTTGACTTGGAGTTAACGCCATAGGTTATAGGAGTAGAGCTTGTCACTTAGTTTCAAAGGAATGTCCATGAGAAATGCAAATAAACCGAGAGAACATTCTAGCAACTCTTACAAGAGCCTGTATAGATTGATACAAAATAGAATAATGCAAGAAAAAAGACGATCATAATTTTAGTCTTTCTCCGTTGGATTCCTTTCTATTTATGATAACGGACAGTGATATGGACAAGACCAAATTCAACAATGGTATTAACGTACGTACCTGCATTAATTGTGATAGTATCTGACAGTACAGTATAGTCAGTTTTTTCCTTTCGTCTGTCTCCAAATTTTATACCCATAATATCCTGGTCGGGAAAACTTACACAAAGTAGACGATCCTTCTCCTCAAGTTGATATTTCTGCATAGAGTTTGTAGCTCAAGTCTGCTGCTACCGGGAACTGAACACTTTCTGCTCGAGCTTGCTAATTCTGTCGTTCACATTCAGATATATCAACACTGTACCAAGTAACAATCCCACGATGCAAAAGAAGAACAGCAGAACTAAAAGAAGGCGTGCCACACGATAATCAAATTTCTTTTCTGACAGCGTCAGCATTGTCCGTTACTGATGGGATAGTTAACTTATAATGCTCATCTCTTGAGTTCAAACTAAAACTATGCAAATTACTTCTCCACTTGCAGACAATCTTTGTTGTTGACTTGCTTAATTAGTTTCGACATTCTTTTAAGCGATAATGATGACGTCATAGCTCCCGCTCCAAAATCTAGCACAATTGTAATGAAATATAATTTGTTACATGCTAGGATAAGGCTTATTAAAATTTTTATTTGCAAAGCGTTTTGACTTTTAACTCTCCACGCTGGAGGCTGAAAACATGTTACAGTTCTTTGCTGTTTCTGGTTTAACCTGTCCCAGGCGTTAAGATGGTGCGACGCGAATTAAAAGCATGCGGAAAAATATAAAATAAGGAGGAAAGGGTGGGGGGGGGGGGGGGGGGGGGTAAGGGAAAGAAAAAGGAGGTTCCTTGGTTCTCGGCCCCATAGCTAAAACAATCGGTTGTAAAAAAAATTGGCAAAAACAGAGGAAGGGTTCTGAAAATTTTACCTAAAGAAAAGGGGGTTGGGTTTACACCGGTCTGGTGACCTGAAAAAACACGGAGAACAGAAGGGGGGGGTGCGGGAGGGGGAGAGGGGGGGGGAGGGGAGGGAGGGGGGGAAGGAGGGGGGGAGAGGGGAGGGGAGGAAGGGGAAGGAGGGGGGGGGAGGGGGGGGGGGGGGGGGGGGGGGGGGGGGGGGGGGGGGGGGGGGTAAGGGAAAGAGAAAGGAAGTTCCTTCGTTCTCGGCCTCATAGCTAAAACAATCGGTTGTCAACAAAATTGGACAAACTAGAGGAATGGTTCTGAACAGTTTCACTGAAGAGAAGTGGTTTTGGTTTACACTCGTCTGGCTGACTTGAATATCACTGAGAACTCTTATGGGGGTGGTCGGTCCCTGAAATACGATAGGTGTGTGCAGCCTAGGGTTTTAAGAATAGGCTGCGTGCACACGTCTACTATTTCCTTTGTTCATGTTGCACGCAGGAAATCAAAGTAAAAAAAAAAGTCTTCTCGGCGTGCATGAAAGGAAGTAGTACACATCTACACGCAGGCTAGTTTTTCAAGGAAAAAAAAAACTAATAATTGCAAAATTACAGAAGGAAAATCACTTGTTACACTTTATTGACTTTATTCTCCCTTAATTGGAGGATGTTCAGGATTAATTATTATCTGAGGTCAGGAGCTAACTACTGCTTGCGCCCAATATGCAGAATTTGTAAGACCAAGCGCACTCAAGATGTTATTACTTTTGAGTATTAGTTGTAGGTAGTTAGTGATTTATTAAAGTAGCTTTGTGATTTATTATGTACATATTATTTAACGATTGTAAGTAGCTCTGTAATTCAGCCTTATAAGTACAATGTATTGTTGCAGTGAGTTTCTTTTAATAAACAGTCAAACTCATACACCTTCATGTAGGGACAGTTCCGTTTCAATAGTCGATTTATTTTTTCTTGTAGTTGGGCATTCACCAACTTGAATTTTAGCTAATACACTCAAGGTACCCTATCTAAGGATCAGTCTGAGAACACAACGCCAACAAAGGCAAAAAATGACCCTTTAAACCCATACCCCACTCGGGAGCACGAGCACACAACTATCTTGCCCACACTGGGAGTACCCAGTAATCATAGGCCTCTGGAGTACCCCATACCCCGGCCGGGACAGGGGTGTGGAATTAGATTATCAATCCTCTTAGTAAGCACGCTCGACGGGTCTTGATCTTGTAATCATCTACAATTATGTAATACATCCTTGAATATTGTACTTGGCATCCACTCTTCGTTTCGCCTCCGAAAATCGCACACTGGGTACTTTTGCGTGACTATCGCAATAGAAAAGAACTTTGCGCACTACGGTCACGTGGTAAAGTCATGAGATATGAAACAAAGAATCTTATTCGGCGGCCGTCACGATGGTGAGTGTTTAGGAGCGTCTCGAAAGAGCTACTTTACGTTAATTTATACTACGCTAAAGTAGTAGTACTGCATATTTCACCTCTGCGTAATTCCCAGACACTATGTTTTTATCGCGAAACAATATGTCTATGGATCGTCGACTGAAATTACTCAGCTGATTACGAAAACCGAATCTGCATGTCGGGTCAGAAGCTGACATTTACTTGGACTGTCAAATTTGAGGTTTGCGGTTATCAAATGTAAGTAGGACAACATTTTTTTTCTTCTTTTAGTATACTAATCTGTGACTGACATGTTTATTAATAATCCTTCGCCCTTTGGGGATGAACTTTAGATTAGGCGATTTCGTAGCCTGCGCGCAGGCTCACCTTTGCCTTTCCTCGTCTTATTCTTCTCGCGGGCTCTGCCTCCTTGCGCCGCCAAAATTTTCCACAAACTAGTATAAGCAAATAGTCAAGCAAGCCTGCTCGCAGGCTAGCTGTTTCAAAAAGTACTGATAATATAATCGATAACATATTATTAATCTACTGAGGAGAATCTGAGATTGGTTTAGCACCCGGTGAGTGTGTCACGTCGCGCGTCACGTCTAAGTATTTTAATTCGTTCCCTGACCTCTCGTATTTTATACCCGGTTTAGTTAATATCTGAATTTTTTTGGAAATTTCTGATGATTTTTTTATTCTCTTCCTTTAAAAATATTCCTGTTCTTGGGAATTTCCGAGAATTTCCAAGATCAATAAGATATACAGCCGTTTCTCTCTTGAATAGTTCTCGGAAATTCCTGAGAAATCAGGGGATTCTCTCGAGGAGGGGCGCTTAAGTTCGAGTATTTTTACGATAACCAGAAAACAGAAACACAAATCCCCAAACGGAAATAAGCATCCCCAACAGCGAACACACCCAAAAAAATACAAAATTAAACCGCTAAACTGAAACAGAATCCAAAAATACAAATCATAGCCACAAAAGACGAACACAAAAACAAGGAATAGCGTAAAGCTATACTTTCGCATGTTTCATCGTCTTTTTTTGAATAGGCGTTTTACGTCTTTTTTAGGGAGAGCATGATCGGAGGCTATGTGAATCAATCTCGTTCCCAGCCTATCTCTTTTCCCCGTCGCCTTTCGCTCTAGGTGACCGGTATTTTCGTCTCTGAGGTCTCCAATCAATTTTAGCCCGCCGGGGTCAAAACCACGTGGGTTACGTTTCTCGATCGTTCTGCTAAATCTCTGAGACTGCCGACTGAATTCTGTGTCATCTGTTTGACTCTCGTTGACTTTTGCCAGATTATATTTAAAATCAGTAATATAAAACTGAATAAAATTAAAAATATTGCTAAGGAAATTATGAAATTTGTTATTAGCAGCTATAAATCTAAATACAAGGGCAAGTGCTTGCGTTTAATCGTTTAATCAAGTCGATCATAGCATCATCCTGCACTACGCGGAGAGGAATCCTCCACTTCAAGGCCTTCCATGAAATATTTCTAAAGAGAAAGATAAAGGAAAAGAAAGTATTTATGAACAGTTGTATTGACTGAATTAGTTACAGATAAATAATCGACTCACTGATAATCAAGACAAAACCAAAATAAACCAACTAGATCTTCAGTACTTTTTCGAAGATATTGAAAATGTGAGATTCAAGATTGTAGACTGTTATAATCAGTAAATATATAATAGACTTACTTATATATCATATATGTGTAACTAGCTAAGAAATGCAAGGTCCTCTATTTTTATCAATAAAATTTGTTACTGTGGTATTATACGTATTATCCTCAATCGATAAAGTGTCTATGTACAGTGTAGAAGGTTCTCAAAGAAAGCCTAGACAGCATATAACATGGAACACGATCGGGCGTTCGTGAACGAAGCCATTAGCGTTTATTACAAAAATCAAAACAAACTTTTTACCTCCCAGACATTTTCATGGTGCCGATTTCCGTGGTCGTGGTTAGTTATCCCCAGGCCTCTTATCGGAGATCTAAACTGTCGGTCATCATCTGTGAGAAGCCCTGGTTCGTGAATTGCCAGGTAGTGACGTAGTTGAATGAAAGCGTCCCCAAAATAGTTATCTCCGGCGCTGTCCGCCATTTCCTTTAGCTCGTCCATACATGCCCGGATGCTTGTTTCATCGCAAACAGACTTCTAGAGTAAAGGAAACGCACCGATATACTTTTATCATTTGGAGATTATAGCGTCATGATCACCGATTTCTAGGGCCTCATCAAAGGCCAGCTGGAAGATTTGGCACTATACTTTACTCCAAATATTTTCAGAAGAAAATAATTATATTGATTTACCCATTAATAACAAAAATTTCCTAAAAACTCGGCTTATATTTACAAAGTACATTATTGTAAACTTAATTTAATTGAATTTATTTTTATTTATTTAGTACATTTTTTTCTCTAGTCTTTCTTGTGAGCTATTTGTATATATATAAAATACGTGTAACCACTGCTCTCGTCGACTAGCTAATCTGCTGACTGCAGGCAGTAGATATTACTTTCTGTAAAATTTATAATAATTAATAAACAGTTAAACAGTCATTGCTACTACAATTCATTTTAAAATAATTTACTGAGTGTGGAAGCCCTCTGTCAAAGAGCTTTTATCTCTAGTTTTCTCTACTTGTAACCGAGTTTGACTGTCTCTAGTGTGAACACAATTGCACGCAACAGAACCTTCCCAGGTTGAGAGAATTTATAATCGTTAGTGATAAGGAAGGGATAAACTTTCAAGAGCTAAGTCAGGCTATTTGCTATCTTTTTAGAAGGCTAAGTGTATTCCTTAGCATCAATTAAATTCTAAGAGTACTGGTACAATTTTGTTATTTACAACTATATATAGTTGGGCATTACCGGAAACTGTTTCCTGCCATCTCTTGCTACGGATGGCAAGGACATGGATTGAAATCCTTTTTTTACGTTGTGATGCTATTCCTTGCAAAAGTCACCCAAAAATTATTGTGATAAATGTCCCTGATGAAATTTGTTTGATATCTTCTTCATAACTCTACAAGAGCATTTTATATATGGATAATGGCACTTATTCTTGGGTTGCACGTGACGTCACCAAAAATCAAACTAAGAAACTATCGATTCTTCTGAGTTTCTACTTTCACGAGGTATTACAGTACCTAAACATCTTTACATAAACAAATTTTTGGTTCGAAAGGGCTCTTCGTTTTGCGAGAGAGGACGCTTGAATTTCCAGGCTTTTGCGTGACGCGGCATTTGGCTGGCGGCCGGGAAAGCTCTTATGTGGGTTAAAAACATTTATTACCGATTTTAGGAGATTTTGCAATCTAAACATTCTTTGTCTCAGAATAAATATTACTGTAATCGTTATGAGTTCCTCAAGCGAAGAATTCATGCATTAATAGGAAAACTCGAAAACAGATGTTTCTGTTGGTATCCGGCGGCCATATTGGTGTTCCTGAAAGGGACACCAACATGGCGTTTCCATACAAAGCTTTATAAATTTAGGTAAACCGTTTTTCCCAATATCTCGCATTTGAAATATTTCACACAAACCCGATTCTTGGCAAGGGTTTTTGTATATTCATCTTTTTTCATTTCCCAGATTCTTGTCCTTTTGTATTGAATGGTTTGTATTTTTATTTTTCATTGCGTGACAGTGCAAGCAGAGAATAAATGGCTTTACCAGAGAATATTATAGACCTAAAACAACAATATCCTCGTGAGACAGCCCCTTTAAAAATAATAATGCCCACTAAGGGCTAAGAGGTAGAAAAAAGTGCAAATCTTACAAACAAAAAAAAAACGAAGAAGAAGATGCAAAAGTGCACGTGAAGTAGATTGTCTTAACTTATCGATCAACACTTTCAGATGACTGCATAGGTTCGTCCTGAGAAAAACGTCAAACTTTCTTCATCTGCAGTAGCACGACAACTTTAATCTTTAGCTAGGCATCACTATGGTACCTTAGGTGTTGTGGTGGCATTTTGGGTAAAGATAGGTTTTTTGCCCAGACGTTGAACTAACCTGTAACGTGATAGAATCATTGATATTCAGATTACTCCACCACCATCCTGAAGGGATGTATAAAATTTCTCCTGTCGCTTGCATACATTCTAGTGGCTTGTACTCGTCTTTTATATGAGGCCGGGTATGTATCCACCATGTGAATGATTCCGACTGTTGTGAATCTTGCGTTTGATGATCATTGTGAATTACACCTGATAAAATAATAATAATAACAATAATAATAATAATAATAATAATAATAATAATAATAATAACAATAATTATTGTAATAATTATAATAATAGTAGGTGGATAATGATGTTTTTGTATTTTTAATAAGATTTTGACTGCATGTCAATATTGATTCTCACTTTAAATTATTATCATCGCTTTTTTTTTACCTTCTTGTACATTTTATTCGTGGTCTTAGCCTTTGTAGTTTTTTTTCTGCTTTTGCATATAGTTTAATTGCCTAGGCCAGATGTATTTCATTCAAGACGATACTTTCAACCGTCTAACGTAATATACCGCTGTGCAGTCTTAGTTGGCTCTCCATCGAATTCCCACACGGCCCACGTTTTCCTACATTATATCAAATGGTAAACTTAGTTTCACAAAACCTAGGAAACTGAGTTATGATGATGGCTCCTCAATACAAGATTTCGGCTCAATATGAAGTCGTTCTATATTTGTCAAAGATTAGACTTGGTTGATTATATGTGGTACTAATAATTGTCGTCAGAATTTTCAATTCCTTTTAATACGTCATAGTAACATGAAAAATGTTAACAATTCGATTTGAGTTACTTAGTAGCTTTGATGGATATAATCACTTGCAATATCACAGACGTTATTGACCGTTATTCCATCGCTCAAGTCGACAATCTATTGGAAAAGAACCTTAGTTTCGACTTCAACTTAACGCGAAGTGAAAAAAAAATGGCATGAATCATCCACTTCATGGGAACTGAACATCATCAAGTCCTTCTAGGCCCAAATTGAATTGTACCCGAATTTTTGAAATATTTACCGATGGCTTCAAGTTATTTGACAGATTAAAAATAATGCTCTGAGTGCAAATAAGCAATATTTTAATTATTTTTGTACCATATGAGCCGAATGAAATACAATATCATGGGAATTGCGTCCATAGCCTGGTAAATTAGTATAGGTAATAGCATGATTAGTAGTGATCTTTGGCATAAATACCACGAGTGATGTTTCGAAATTGTTATACGTAATTTCACGAGCCGTTAGGCGAGTGAAATTTGAGACAATTTTGAAATATCACGAGTGGTATTTATGCCAAATATCACATACAAATCATGCTATTATTTGTTTATACTACTACCGGCAAAAGGTTTGTAATTTTCACATGTAGGTATTTCAAATTAAGCTGAAATACCACTGCTCTAAGCCAATCAAATTGCAGAAATTTCTCATGTAGTAGTATAACGCTGTTAACACCTACCCGGCACAAAGTATCGTGATGGCGGATAAAGTCCCCAGCGTTTCCGCCCAGTAATCAAAGCACTCCATAATGAAGCATTAAGATGTTCTACTCGCCAGTGCAGGCCAGACCTCTTGGGCGCCATCTCAAATGACAAGTGAGGAGGACGAATATCTTCATCTATTACCTGAATCAAATCAAAATAGAAACTTCAAGGTATACCAATTAACCGTAAGGTAACTTGTATTGAAATTCCAACCATGCAAATATTCAACTGTCGGCCATGTTATTTTGAAGAGGGTTAAAAGAGTTGGTTATAATTGTGGTTAATAAATAGCGGTGACGGCCCAAGTTCAAGTCCGCATATGTTAGCAGCAGCCCAGGAATTGGTCTATGTTAATTCTTTCTGACAGGTACTAATAGTGCAGATTGTTAGAGATAGATACTCTAGCTTTTGCTCCATACGAAGTCCTTTTATATAGATTATATTTCTGTAACCTCAAGAACTTTTTCTAGCTTTTTCTTGTACTCGCGTATGTTCAAAATTACTTCAATCAATCAAAATAAAGGTGTGTACAAACTCCTCCAATAGCAGATATATATATGTATAAAAAAATATACAAATGCACACTGTATTGACTGTCCTTGTAAGAACAACAGTAATTACCTCTGTGTAGTCTTTGGTAAATTTCGGAAAACGTACATCCTCCAATAACTCGGGGTAAATTTGATCAAAGTCCTTCATAATAACTTTTGAAGGCTCCTTGTACATGTCAGAAAATCGACTTCGAAAGTCATTCCACAGTGTGTAAGAGGTTAGGTCTTCCATTAAGTCAACCTTGACCCCTTTGGTGAGAACCTTTCCTACAGGAAATAACGTCAAATATTAGACATCTCAAAAACTTCGAGTTGAAAGTACGATCTTTTTCTATGGTCTATTGACAACTTGCAGCCGATCTCAAAAAAATTTTAATCAATTTAAACG